AGATTGCTACCTCTCCTCCACATTTCTTCTTCCTCTCCTACTATCTCTCCTTCTCTCTCTTCCACCCTCCACTTCTTCCTTTCCTTCGTCCCTCCATTCCCTACTTCCTTCCTCCCCTCCTTTCCTTCCTTCTTCCCTTCCTTTCTTTTTCTATTGTTATAGGTGTCTCTTTCAAATCCAGTTTAAAGCATAAAAATATATAGAGATTGGGAGCACGTTCTCTGTACAGTCAGTGGTAGCAATCTGGTACCCACTTACTACAGGACATTAAGCTAAAAGTGGAAAATGAGTTTAAGGATTGTATGAGTTCAACAGGCTCATTCTGAAAAGAGCATACATTTATGTTGTATTCTAACCCCCATATTAAATTGAAGTTTGGCTTATCTTTATTATGATCAAATATTATCATAAGGAGGACGGAGTACAATCAGTTAAAAAAACCTAACAAATACATCAGTTTAAAAATATTAATGATAAAAAGCCAAACGATATAAAACAAAGTACATATAAAAACAAGTTGAATTCATCTGGAGAGCAGCAGATTGAAGAAAATTTATTTATTTGTTACATTTCTATGCCAACCATCTCTCTAGGATTCTGGGTGGCTTTCAACATAAGTTGCCACTTTCATTAAAAAAAAATCTATTCCAGACAGACTGCTGCAGAAATCCAAGTTTAGATCTGGAGGAATCAGTCCTTTGAGAGAACACAACTTTAAACTTGGTTTAGAAGAGAGGGATATAAAATTTGCCCCAAATGATGCAATTTGAGCTGGTGGCTCATTATTTCTCAACCCACCCACCACTTTCATCGTAGGAGGAAATTTTATTTGTTTATTTAGTCAGATTCTGAAAGATCTCCTGTATGGAGAATTAGTGCAGGGAAAGCGCCCTAGAAGGAAACCACAGCTGCAATATAAGGATGTCTGCAAGAGGGATCTAAAGGCCTTGGGAATGGGTATTAATGGCTGGGAAACCTTGCCCTCTGATAGTTCAGCTTGGAGGCTGAAGACATGGCCTTCTCCAAGAGACAATTGTTCAGCAAGCTGAGGCAAAGAAGCACCAGAACCAGAGAAATCTGAGGACTGGGCAGGGGACAAAATCTATCTGCCCTCAGTGTGGAAGGGATTGCCACTCCCGAATTGGCCTTTTTAACCACACCAGACCTCTTTCCACAGCATGACACCATAGCCTTTTGAGACTGAAGGATGCCAATGTATTTATTTATGGGGTATAAAAATCGCAAATGATGCAATTCAAGGCGCTGGCTTCAACTCCCTCATTATTTCTCAACCCATACACTCTTTTCATTGTGTGAGGAAGTGTATATTGTATTTATTTGTTTGTTTATGTGTTCGTTTGCTCGTAATTCAAGGTGACAAAAGCGCACACAGCAACAAAGCATTAAACGGGCTCAGTTTTCCTGAAGCCAAACCTTGGGCTCACCCAGAGTCTCGAAGCGGGTAATCTAGGGACGCCACAAGCGTCGCCACAGCAGGTGGGAGGCGGCGGCTGCGGCTGACTTGGGGATGGAAACACGAAGAAACGCCCGGCGAAGCAACTGCCTTTTCCTCTCCGACTTCTGTTAGCAGAAAGAAGGAAGAGGCAGAGGCAGCAGGAAAGGGGCCGATCGCTTCGCAGCCGGCGTGCTCACCCTCGTCTGACTCTCCTCACAGCACCGCCACTCTCTCTAGGCTTCAGAGGCCGAGCCAATTTTTGGTTTCTTTTTCCCTCTTGCCGCCCCCTCGAGGCGCTTTGCGGCGCCGAGGCCTCTTCCTCCACAGGCCGCGAGGACTGAAGCCGCCGCCCGCCGAGGCTTGGGGCGGGAAGCGGGGCACGTTAAAGAGAGGTAAAAGGGAAGCGGGCTGGGGGGCTGGGGTAAGAGAGAGAGGGGACCCGCCTTTAATTTGCTTCGCGTGACGCCGGCCCAGCGGGGGCGGGAATGAGCTGCCGCTTAGCGCAGTCCTGGGGAGGGGAAAGGGAAGCATCCCTGAGCGGACGTGGCGTTTTGACCAGGCCTTGCTGGACTTCTGACGGGCAAGGGCGGCAGTAGCCGCTGCTGCCCCGCCTTCCAAGGCGACGGCCGCTGTTTGTTGTTCCTCTTGCCACGCTGTAAAAAGCAACCCTTGCCCCAAAGAGGTAGCGGTCCTCCGAAAATAAGAGGCGTACCCGGCATCCAGCACCGGGGATGGCCGCTTCAGCATCTGTCGGAGGCTGGAGGCTCTTTTTTTTCCCGTTCGCTCCGTGTTCCTCCTTCATGCAAAAAAGAAAAAGCCTGATCTGAACTGGAGTCGAATGTCATGGGAAACAATGCTGTCAGCCTGGAGCATTTTCATTTCAGTCTTTAACTGGGCGATGAATTGAACCTCCTCCCTTAAAACGTGGATTGGATTGGGTTTTTTTTTCCTTAGTGACGTGGATTGTTTCCCCCAGGCCACTTTAGGAGCTAAGGGGTGGGTTTTGCTGAGGTTTCATATTCAGCAGTGCTACCTGCAAGATGCTCTTACTGAAGGTTTTAAATTTTGGGAGGCTCTAGAGGGAGGAATGGGGCCAAATAACTGCACACTACTATTCTGTAGGATATTTGTGTATGTGCATGTATACACACACATGTGTGTATGTGAATAGTGTTTCATCATATGCCAACAATAAAAGGTAAGGTAATTAGGTGAAGGTAGCAAAAAAAGTATGATTGTTTCAGGATAAAATGAAATATATGTATAAAGAGCAGAGTATCTGTTGAGATTATCAGTCATCCAGGTCATGGCTGTCCCAGAAGTGCTTTTTCAAGAGGCAACTGGACTTTCTGGTTTTGTTTTGTTTTTTGAAGACCTTTCACTTCTCAAAACTGAAGAAGCTTTGATAAGAAGTGAAACAGCTTCAAAGATATAAAGAGCAGACTATATTCAGTATTTAAATACAAGTGAAGCTTTTGAACTGCAAAGCAAAGTCTTATGATTCAGGCTGTTGGAAGTCTTATGATGCAGATTGTGGGAAATACTTTCTGTTCTCCCCCCTTCTTTCTTTTCCAGGCCTATTTGAAAGCACTGTCCTTCATTCAATGACTATTTTATATATTTAAAAGACTGTTTCTGGGTAATTCGTATATAACTGCATAATTAGCCTTCATGAACATGCAACTCACAGATCAGTAAATCAAAATCATATTACAGCCCTAGCCTAGTATAAGAAGAGTGGGATATAAACAATTTTAAAAGGTAAAAAATATAAAACACACAAAGTTAAAAACATTTTAAAAATCAAATGTTTAAATTTAAAAATACTTGTAAAAAGATAAAAGGTTAATTTTTTATTTTATTTTATTTGGTTTGTCAAGCATGTTTGAGAAAACAAGTATAAATATGAATATAATATATAATCATATAAGTATAAGTAGGTATAAGTATATACATAAGAAATGAGTACAAATAAATGGGAACAGTAAGACAGGGATGACTAGACACGTTGGTGCACTTCTGCACACCCTCTTACAGACCTCTTGGGAATGGGGTGAGGTCCATGGTAAACCTGTCATAATACAGAACACTCTTAACTGACAAGTTAAAACTTAAAAAAAAAGGAATTAACTTGAAGCTCATAAATGCTTAAATTTTCCTGGTAAGGGTAAATTTGTCAAAATGAAGATACTGACCAGGTTATTGTATTTTTTAAAAAGTGGTGGGTGGAGTCTAGGGCTCATAGGATACTAGGAAATTTATTTAATTATATAGATATCCTCATGAAACCTTCCAAGTAGACTGGAAAGCAAAAATGTAAAAAGTGTACAGTGGAATGTTTTTTTTCTGGTGGGACCGGTCTATCAGGACAACCTGGTATACCCAGTTATGGGACAGAACATACTGCTTCCGTTTTTGCCTTTCAGCCCCAATGCAGGGTCTTTTATGTAAAACATAGATTGCACATTGGAGTAAAGGGGACGCAGTGGCTCAGTGGCTAAGACGCTGAGCTTGTTGGCAGTTTGGTGGTTCAAATCCCTGGTGCCACCTAACAGAGTGAGCTCCTGTTACTTGTCCTAGCTTCTGCCAACCTAGCAGTTCAAAAGCATGTAAAAAAGCAAGTAGAAAAATAGGAATCACTTTTGGTGGGAAGGTAACAGCATTCCATGTGCCTTTGGCGTTTAGTCATGCCGGCCACATGACCATGGAGACATCTTCAGACAGCACTGGCTCTTCAGCTTTGAGCATCGCCCCCTAGAGTCGGGAATGACTAGCACACATGTGCGAGGGGAACCTTTACCTTTACCTTATAGTGGTAAAACAAGAGGAATAAAATCAGTCAGTTATCTTTGCTTTCAATTCAAAGGCATCCAGTGTTTTCACTGCCTGCTTTTCTGAAAGAATTCCACCACAGACTTTGAAAAATACTTGGAAATGGAAAATAGTCCACAGTACAGCACCCATTTGCTTGCATCTGAGAGCAATGTAATTCAGATATTGTGTGTGAATCATCAGTTTAGCAGTAGGTTTCTAAGTAGATTCACAGAACTGTAAATTGTAAAATCCTAATGTGGTTTTGAGTTAAGTCTACCCATCATACTCCTATTAGTGGGAATTGCTTTCAGTTTCTTGTCTCCAAGGTTTGAGAAATAGGGATCAGTTGTCCTTAGTGCCTGCCCCAATTTTGTAGAACTCTCTTCCATCTACCACCAAAGTTAAGGTCACATTCCTCCCCCTCTCCCATTTAGGAAAGTATTAAAATAGTTTTCTGCTGGTCATTTAGATACAACATTATTGTGCCTTTTTGTGTTAGGGTGGACTAGGTTGGAGTCTATTGTTGCTCATGTAGTTTTTTAAGGGTTATATTACAGCATAAGGCTGATTTTGAGTTTTGGGAGAAAGTTGCTGGAGTTGTTTTATGAATTTTTATTGTGAACTATCTAGAGTAGGTATGTCTAACTTGTGGCCCATTGGCCACATTTGGCCCTAGACAGCTAGTAAAGTGGCCCTCACAAGATGGTTAACTTTTAACATTGTGTAATTTATATACATTAACTATATTATATATTTTATTGGTAATCCTTGTCTTACAACAGTTCATTTAGTGACCAAAGCTACAGTGGCACTGAAAAAAGTGACTTGCGGCTGTTTTTCACACTTATGACTGTTGCAGCATCACCATAGTCCTGCGATCAAAATTCAGGGGCTTGGCAACTGTCTCTTATTTATGACCTTTGCAGTATCCCGGGGTCATGTGTTCTTCTGACCTGACTAGCAAAGTCAATGAGGAAGACAGATTCACTTAACAACCCTGTTACTAAATTAACAACTGAAGTAATTCACTTAACTGTGGCAAGAAAGATCGTAAATTGAGGCAGAATTAACGTAATAAATGTCTCACTTAGCAATAGAAATTTTGGGCTCAATTGTAGGCATAAGTCAAGCATTACTGTATATGTGACCCAAGATAATTCCTCTTCATTCAATGCAGCCAAAGCAAGCCAAAAAGTTGGACACCCATGAGGTAGATTTTGGGGTTTGGTTAGGGCGTGTACTACTGCAAGTACCATACTATGTAGGTGCTGCCGTGGAAAACATCTCAGATTTCCATCAACCAGACGTTTTGATTTTTTATGGTAAATAAACTTTTAAAACTTCACTTCAGACGCAGTCAGGGAGGAGTTATTCTTTCAAATATCAGTGGCCCTAAAATATAGGTAAACACCATCCTTATGAGTTAGCCTTTAAACAAGTTGGAAGTCAGTGTAATTGATTTAAGTGTAAAATACGGTAGTCTGAAAAATGTGCACTGATTGCAGTTTCTAAATAGTTTCTAAAGTTGTTTTCCTCTAAATCAAATGAAAAAAATATGGCAACCAAACATGGCAGATAAAAATATAGAGCCGAGGTGGCACAGTGGTTAAATGCAGCACTGCAGGCTACTTCAGCTGACTGCAGTTCTGCAGTTCGGCTGTTCAAATCTCACCGGCTCAGGGTTGACTCAGCCTTCCATCCTTCTGAGGTGGGTAAAATGATGATCCGGATTTTTGGGGGCAATAT